CTTAACGCCTCAATTTGTACGGAAGCTCGTTAATGACAAAAGCATCAAGTGAGTGCAGACAGAGAGGCGTTTGTGTAATCTGAAAGACTGAGAAAAGACAGAATGGTGAGTACAATGTTTTTGCTCTCAGAAAACTGACCAGGACAATAAAACCTGAGACTGAAGCCGACAGTAAATGTGAGGGTGTCCTTTACTTAAATGTACTATTTGGAGTTTTAACTGATTGTAAACAGTCTCAGTTTAATACTGAAGCCTCTGTATGAGCTACAGAAACAAACATCAGAGAGAAGATTGGATATTTCTATATAATTTTCATTCATTATTCTGCCACTGGGTCAGATTCCCCTCAAAGTCAATAAAACCAGGCTGTGGAAACACTATCGCTTTTGTCCACAGGGGCTGCCAGAATCTAACCTGACTGCAATAGATGGTTTGATACACAGAACCATCTGGGCAGTCATTTTTGGGATGACAGACTTTTCGATGAACCTGTCGTCGTCTATCACGAAACAAACTTCATCTGATCAGAGCAATAATTCGTATTTCATATGATGTCAAACTTGTCAGGAGAAGAGAGATAACGTACTACTCTCCAGTTCTGATATAACTGATGCTAGCAGCATCTACACTAACCTCTTTAGCAGATTATATATATTTTTTTAAGTAAATGGTTACACACACCTCTTGTGTGACCTTGTGATGTTGTGACATTGCGAGTCCAGGTTACTAATAGTGGGTCAACTAGAACTCGATAAATGTAGGTTTAGACGTTATAAAATAGCCCCCATATGTTTTAAATATTCCTGAATGCTGCAAAAAATGCTAGATGCATTTAAATGCTAGAATAACTAAGACTATTATTACTATAAGTCAGGATTTCAAAGGTTTAACGTTCCTTGTAGCAGCTTTAGGTAAAAGTGCTAATGCCACTGTAACTATTACTACTACTACTAAAGTATTATTAACTATTCTTGTTTATCTATTAGTAACTATACTAGCTGTTAGTATACAAGGAATCAACAAACAGCAGCTTCTCAAACTGCATCTTTAAAATGTTAACTTTTTATTTTTGTTTTTTGAGATGCTCCTTCATTTGTCTCACACAGTTTATTTTTAGGGTTTTTTTTGCATAAGAGAATCCTGCCTCCATTTCCTTTCTGCATTGCATTGTGGGACAATCAACAGCACACTTAAAAACCAGGGTTTTATTAGTATGCATACTTGAATATACTTTAGTTTTTTCAACTGTCTAGTGTGACAACAGACTTCTAACTTAAAACAATTAGTGCTTTGTACTGAATTCAGACACTCAAATACTATAAAATGTATTATTGTACTTTTACAGTAAATTACGGGCTAATAATTGCAGTAAATTAACAGCAGAATTCAGTAATTATGGTTCAGTAAAATATAGATGAACTCACAAGTCACAATAATTAGTGTAAAACTACAGTATTGTGAAGTAAAATTACAATAAATTGTAATGAATCATCTGTAGTTACTGTAAGTTCACAATAATGTGCAGTAATATTGCATATAATATAATACAGTCAGAGTTTTCTTAGTGGTTCGAAAAGCTGCAGCTCAACAAGTTTCAGTGTTGGTATCATTTCACTGCATCACTGATGTGTTTGATTAATTATTAAAACTATATTGAGACTAGCCTTTATTACATTTTCTGAGTTGGAACCTACTTCCCTTTTCTGTGTTCATTCTTTGCATCCCAGATGGCCTGAGCCCTTGCTGACTCTCTATTTCCATGATCTATCAATTAATTGAATTTACCTTGATTAGGTGAGCCGAGTAAATACACTCTCAGTTCATATCATCAGATTTCTCTTAAATTCTGGAATTGACTCTCAGCTGATGACTCTGATGTCTTCAGCTCGGTTTGTTATGGATGCTGAGTCAAAATATTGAGAACGTTTCTCATTATAGTGACTTACAGAATCCTTTTTGTCCGATCACATTGGCAGAAATGGGCTTCCATAGGTTTGTTGAGAAGCAGCACCTTCAAACAAAAACCTTCTGTCAGGTTCGATGCAGTGTGTGTTGGACTAATGTGAAGCTGTATACTGATATTAACAGTCCTCTCTCTCTCTTACAGGATGGTGTTGTGATGAACAGCTAAGACGTTAACACACACGCACACACACAATGAGTACCAGTACACCAGCAGTGCGCCCGGCCTCCCCTCCCTCTGAGGATCCGACTACGCCCCCGCCCATGACCACACCTCCCCGCAAAGCCTCGGTCCGCCTGCAGGAGAGGTGGATGTTAATCACACACACAGAAAATCTCTCTCTCACTGCAAAAACAGCAGTGCCAAATGTTCTTAAATATAAACAGATTCTTCTAATATCTGCCAATTTGTGTTACAATTAATGAAAACTCAGTTCTTTAACATTGTTATTATGCTGTTTAAAGAAATTGCTCAATAAAGTGACCAAAATACTTATTTTAACAATCAGTGACTTCATCTTAAATATATAAAGGCACCAGAAAAAAAATTGTTTTTGTATATCAATATTAGCTGTAATGGCTTATCAAGACAAAGTTAATTATTATAATAGTATTGTCATTTTTCTTTTCGCCTAGAAACAAGATGTTTTCACTCTCTTGAGATTCTTGAGATTTTTTTGCACTCATCACGCTGTTTCTTCTTTTGTAGGCGGGGCTCCAACCTGTCTCTGCTATTGGACGTGACCAACCTGGCGGTGGAGCCTGTTTGCTCTGTCTCCACCCCAAAGGAGGTGTGGCTTCAGCTGCTGCACACCTCCTCCCGACCGCTTACACACCCTGCGCTGCAGCAGGCCGCCACTGACACGAGCACACTGAATGTAGAGTACCAGGTAACACAGCGTCTGCTTGATTCATCGCACAGAGCAGCTTCCTGTGTGAGGGCAATGAGGTGTGTTTGTTTTAACATCCAGCCCTTCCCTGTCTCCTCCTCCACAGAAGATCCCTCCGAACTTTGTGAGCGCCGCAGAGCTCGATGTTCCAGGACACATGATGAAAGACAGATACAAAACCATCCTACCCAGTCAGTCCTGTCCTGTCCTGCTGCACTCTCAGTCGAAAGACACCGTTTTCACTCTTAATTAATCTCTCGTTAACCATTTGTTGTTTACTGTTTAGACCCTGAGACCCGGGTGATCCTGAGGAGCCCAGAGGAAGAGGCGGGGCCAGACCGCTACATCAACGCCAACTACATCAGGGTCAGTCTGACATTATTTTATATTGAGTCAAATCACCCTGCAGCTTTCTGCAGAGGTGATTCTGGTGATGGATTTTAATATTGGATGTCTGTATGTGGAGCTGATTGTTTGTCTCAGTATGAATGAGTATCTACTGATGACGTCTTTTCGTTGACCAGCCTGCAATTTTTCTCCACTTCATGTTAAATTAATTTTACATGTCTTCACTTACCCTCTAGTTAAGATTAATTTTTTAAAGAAATAGATCAGTATTTTAGGAAATACACTTAATCTCTTTCTCACATGTCTGTGTGTTCAGTACAGAGCTGGAGAGTCAGGCGTGGTTAGCCTAGCTTAGCATAAAGACTGGAAGCAGGAGGAAACAGCTCTAAAGTCCAATGATTAACATGTTATATCTCATTGTGTTCTGCACACAAACAAAAATATATATAAATATATCAATTTGTCTGGTGAGAAGGTCAGGTAGAGTCGGGTGTCATCAACCCAGAAGTGTCTGAAATGGGCCAGTTCTCCTCGGTGAGACAGTTGGGTTGACAGTCAGAAGGCATGGACCTCTGTGCTGAATTAGGGTTAAGTTAGTGCACTGGCACCTTTTTTGGTCCAATTCAGGCACTGGACCCCGTGAGGTACATAGAAGAGAAGGGGACGAGGCACAGATCCTTGTGGTACCCCAGCAGAAAGAAAACTAGTCAACTAGACCGTTATCCTCACACCAAAGGAGTGTTGTTAGGACAGGAGTTACAAGAGGATTTGGATGTTTCAGCAGAAAGATGTGCAACTCAACTGCATGCGTTGTAATAAAAATGTCTAAAAGCAAACTGAAGTAAATAATTCCCTCCTACTTACAGGAGATCATTAGGTCAATCAGTGTAATTATATCTTGTTTTTGTCTGAACTGTATTATTTTATTAAATAAATTAAATCAGTAAGTAAATAAGTTTCCTTCAGTATTGCTGATAGCTGGTAGTGTGTGACAGCGCTGTCACTCAGCGTGGGCGTCTTCTTGTTTGTGTGTGTTTTCGGACAGCTAAACAAACAGAAACTCAGATATGAGCCGTCGGTTTGTCAGCGTGGGAGTATGACAACCAGGAAAACCACAGGAAGTGAGTGAGGAAGTGTCCCTGAGTCACCAACCCCATCCCCCCATCGCCCCATCCCTCCGGCCCACGCATCCCTCACACTCTGCAGCCTCAGCTCTGTGTGTCAGTGTGTGTGTCTGCAGGCGTGTGTGTGTTGGTCTGCAGCCACCTGCTGCTCCTCCTGATGTGTTTTGACAGTTAGTTTAATATAATAAGAAGCTACACACACGTAATCATTTATTTATACTCTATAAAAACTACAAAAACACAACCTGCTGATTTGACGTTTGGCGGTTGTTATTGATGAGCAGTCTTGATTCACTTCCTGTCTTATGAGGTCAGGGATGTTGGCTGGTTTCAGCAGTGGGGGGGTTTCTTGCTTTTACTTTGATGTCAGCCTTGCAAATAATAAAACATATGGATGTGAACAGTTATCACTGTCTGCAAGTCTAAGTCACATAGTACAAATTAAAATACATCAGTACAAAATACAATATATAAGTATTAAACATACTAAAAACATAATGGCCCTTTGTCATTATGCATCAACTTTTCAAAAAATCCAAATGGGCAGTTTTATTGATTGCAGAATAAAATTGTATTTAGATCTTTAAACGTGTAATATGTAATGTCTGCCACTAGGGGGATGCTTACATCAAAACACTAACAAAAGATGAAGTTTGATGAGATATTTTAGAACTGAGTGATAAATTAGTCCTTAAAAATCAATCTGTTTTCATTTCAACAGTTCATTAAGTGCACATTAAACAATCGCGTTAATGATGACATGATGATTGATTAATGATTTCATGGCCTCCACTGCAGCTGAGGGTCTGACCTCCTCTCTGCTCCTGCTGCAGGGCTACAAAGGAGCACCCAGGGCCTACATCGCCACCCAGGGGCCGATGGTGCACACCGTCGGGGACTTCTGGGACATGGTGTGGCAGGAGAGGAGCAGCATCATCGTCATGGTTACCAGACTCAAGGAGAACAACGAGGTGAGGAGACACGACACCTCCTTTCTGCTTCCTCCTCTCTTTCTTTTCTTCACCTTCTTGAACTTGTCCTGAAGGTGTCTGCGGTGTTTGTTTGTCCCAGAAATGCGAGCTGTACTGGCCACAGCCGAGGGAGAGGAGGAGGACGAGGGTGAAGGAGGAGGAGGAGGAGGAGGAGGAGGAGGAAGACGTTAAAGAGGAGAAGAAGGAGGAAGAGGAGAAGGAGGAAGGAGAGACGGGCCGATTCGGTAGATTCCTCCTCAGAGTGAGAGACAGCCAAGAGAAAGACGGGTTCACTGTCACTGACATGGAGATCCAGGTACAGTAAACATTTACTTAGGTACAGTTTTGATGTAACTAAAGTACAACATAACCTCTGTACCTGACTTACATACATTACCTCAAAGGAACTGTTTACTTTTGGTCTCACACGGGACACCAACATAGTTCTGACCAAGTGAGTGAGACCAGGTTGTACAAGCACCTGATATACAGGCATACTGGGGTCTGGTTTGTACATTTAAAACCTAAAAGGCAAAATGAATAAGTTCTTTTAAACGTTCAGAGATTCTTTAATTATTTAATGCACCAGACGATGTAATCTGAGTCCTTGTTCATATTTTCATATTACAACGTAAACTGTCTGCCTCAGTGAGACTGTCAAATTCAGAGAACACTTTATCAGCGTAGTCCAGAGATAACACTGGCGGAAATGACATGTTGTTCCTTTAACACTCACACAGCAGCTGTTACATTGAACCACTGACTCTCCATTGCATCTCACCTGGACAGGTGAATAAAGAAAAGCTGCTGTTTGGTTGTGCTAATGATGGAATATTGATCAGTTATTTGTGTGCAGCTGTGTGAGGAGCGCCGTCCCGTCAGACACTACTGGTTCACCTCTTGGCCTGACCATCACATCCCACAATGCACCGCTCCGCTGCTGAGACTGGTGGAGGAGGTGGAGACCTACCGCAAGTCCCTCCTACCGCTGAGCTCTGAGCCAATCACAGCGCCCACCCTCTCTCCTGGGCCAATCATCGTCCACTGCAGGTTGGTTCCTCTACTGAGTTCATGTTATTATTATTTATTAGTTTTATTTAGTCTCATAACAGGAAGTAACTTGGCGGACACGAGAAAGGAAGAACTGAGAAACAACTGAGGAAGAAGTAGAGCTGTGTCGGGTGGTTTGGAGGAAATTTTTATTTTAGTTTCTGTTATGTTTTTTTTATGACCTTTGCCTCATAGATCATAGAAAACACAAAAAAAGGTCTTAAAATTGTGTAAATTGATGGAGAAAATGCTTGTAAATATTGATAAAGGCAATGTTTGAATTACCAAATAGTACCATAAAAAACAAAAAAAATTGAGATTTTGATTTTGTTTTTTTTAAATATTACAAGAAAAAAACGGTTACCAGAAAATTTGACACATAAACTGACAGACTATCACAAACAACTCAAATTAGGATTTTCTTTCGAAATAATGGTGTTTTTCAAAATTTCAATATAATGATTGTATTTCTCTCTTTGCAGTGGCCCTAAAACTCCCCTTTGAATGGAAGAACAAGAGAAAATAATAAAATAATATATGGCACAATAAGATGAATGAGTGAAAAATACAAAAAAAATCTTACAATTGTGTAAAATATAAACTGATGCTAATGGACGAGCTAACTGGTAGCTGATTTGCAAAACAGTCAAATATTGTTTTTTAATAGGTAAAATATACCTATTAAAAAATATATATATATTTAAATATTACAAAACAAAACTTTGACTAACAGACAATCGATCACAAACATCTTATTACTTTTTTCTTGGAATAAATGTCTTGAAATCTTGAAATATGTTCCCTTGTAATGGCCCTGAAACTCCACCGTCAAATAGAAGAACAGGAGAAAAGAGTAAAATATTACATGGCACAATAGGATGAACTGGTATAAACTTAAAAAAAGTTTCACATTTGGTTTCTTTTATAATGTGTGTGTGTGTAACATCAGTAGTTTACAGTCTGGGTTACTGAACAGTAAAACCAGCTTGTGAGGAATCAAACCCGAGCGGCGGATGTGTCAAGGGTTCCTTCCTGTTTCACAGCGTGGCCGGTCGTACCTGAGCAACCAACCACAGCAGAGAGGACAGATGAAAGAGTGCAGGCTGCGGTGTGGATCTGACCAACGGTGCAAAGAAACACAGAGAAATGTGTTTCTTGAAATACAACCAGAAAGAGGAAGCGGATTAAATGACAAGGCTCAGTAGTCATACAGAGAGTCTGTCTTTCTCTACAGTTTGGCTTAAAGGTCCAATGTGTAACACTGAGGAGGACCTAGTTTCAGAAATAGAATATAATATTCATAAGTATTCGTAAGTGTTTAATCAACTGAAAATAAGAACTGTTGTGACCTTAAAATGAGCTGATTTTATCTTTTTGGATACTTTCTTACATCTCTACCAACTGTGAAGCCTCCAGTTTGGCATTCAATCGTCACCATGACGTTTGTTTTTCAGAGCCAGCAGAGGTCACGTACAGCGAGTTGATCTGCTCTCATTGGCTGCTCTTGGTTTGGAAACAATGGGCGGCTCTCCTGGCTCACCAGGATCTGGTATTCCAGATAAACAGTAAAAATATTTGTTTCCGTGGAACAGATTTTGGGAGAGAGAAATAGTCAACAAGCAGAATCTGGATCCATAATGCTGAATCAGCACTGTTGACAGTTTGATCTTGAGTTTTGGTGCATTGAGCTCGAACGGAACTCACTGGAGAATGGAGGCTGTCAATCACAAGGTAGCCCCGGCACCTAAAAGGCATCCCCTGCTTTATGTCTGTGGACTTAAATGGACCATCAGTTACTAAATGGAAACATCACATTTCGGAGGGAGCTCCCCTGTTGCTCATACATAGAATGCATTGTTTAAGGCACTAAACACATCACTTCA